ACACAATGGAATACTATTCAGCAATCAAAAAGATAAACTCATGTCATTTGCAGCAACATGGATGGAGCTAGAAGAGATTATGCTCAGTGAAATAAGTCAGAAGGAAAATGAAAAATATTGGATTGTTTGACTTATAGGAGGAATATAGGGGAATGAAATAAGGAATCAGGGAAAATAAAAACAATAAATAAAAAAATTAACAAGCATCTATAAATCAGAAACATTCTGCAGGGGTGGGGGAGGGAGAGGTATCAAAACAGAGGAGGGAAAAGCACCAGGGACTATGGTGATGTGCACAGGTGAACTGGTGATGGGAATTCTGTAGGGACTATACCTGATAGGAGAATGTAAACATTGTACAAAAATGAACAATGATGAACAAATGAACAAAATATATATAAACAAACAAATTATATATATATAAATGCAGATTAGTAAAGGTTACAGTGAAAACAGTAACCTTACAGTGTCTCCTTACCACCATCAACCTCTTTTCAGAATAGTACCTACTTTTAACCAGGTTCTTATGTTTTCTTCCAAAATCTATTCTCTGCAAATATAAGTATATAAGTACATATATCTTTATTTGTATACATTTGTTTGTAAATGTTTATTTTTACACAAATGGTAATCTATTTCTCCATCTTTCTCTCTGTTGTTAACTGCATACTTAGCAATTATTTCATATTGGCAACATTGAATCTTCATTCTCTGTCACAGCTATACAATATTCTGTTGCACATCATTGCATACTAACTATAATTTGTCAAACCTTTCCTCTATGATGGATATTTAGTTTATTTCCAGAGACTGGTTTCTTCAAGTTATTCTTGGAGTAAACTCCTTGTGCATCCTTGTATCTGTGCAAATATATATCATGAAATCTTAGAAGCGGGGTGTCTGGGTCCAACCATATGGACCTTTACATTTTAGTATAAATCATCAAATTGCCCCCTGGGGAAATGTCAACAATTTACATTTGCACTAATAGAGCTTTTCAATGTACCTCCACTGATACTCTGTATGGATATCTATAACTAATTTGAATGTGTAATGCTATCACATTGACAGTTTGGTTTTGTATTGCTGTCATTTTGAGTGAGCTTGAAGCAGTTATTTCTTTAAATGTTTAAAAACCACATATCTGTGGATAGCTTGCACATGCTCTTTTTCCATCTGAAAAAGCACGTATTAAGTGGGTTGGCCCAAATTGGCCCAGCTCAGCAGAGTCACTGTCCCCAGGGCTTATTTGGGGCTCCCTCTCTGCTCTCTCAGCTCCTGTCTTTCTGTTTTTGGTGTGTGGGTGCTGCTCTGGCAGTCATAGAAGCCCTTGGCCATGTATCTGTGCCAGTTTACCCATCCATTTGCCTCATAAGTGAAAGCTGATTGCAACAGCTACAGGAAATATTTTACTCCTCCAATCCCTGAGAGCTAATGTAAAACGAATATATCTTCTTGATTTTATAGTATAGCAAATGGAGTGCAAGGACATCTAACTGGCTGGTTGAACATCTAGCAAGACACTCAGAGTCTATGTGTGTGATATGTGTGACTGTGCCATTGAGTGGAGCACTGTATTAGGAGCTACATGCATTCTACTTCCTGCTTTAGTATGTATCTGCTGAGATTGGGCAGGGACACTAATATTCAGATGCATTTTTCACATACCTCATTTCTTTCTAACTGTGTATGCATACCTCTGAAGTAGATGCTTACCACTATTATTCCCACTTCACAGAAGAAACTGGAGATCAGAAAATTTAGTAAACCAGAGCCCACTTCACTTTTTTCTCTCCTGAACAATCAACACAACCCACGAAGGCACCATCCTCTGGCCTCCTCCCAAAGCAGGTCTGGAGACATAATTGCTCTAGGATAAAGGAACGTTGTACTCCTTTCCTTTTGAAATATCTTCATTTAGTAAGTAATTAAAATTGTTTACTGTAAATAAACAATTGTGGAGTATTAAAAATATATTTCCTCTATCATGTATGGAATCTTTATAATTGGGTATTCATGAGGGAGGGGCCAGCTACCGAAACAACCTTGATAAATCCCTTGTTCTTAGGTATATATGGGAAGTAGGCACAAGAAGCCCAGATATCATGAGGTGATACAGGCATGTGGCAACTCTTCTTCTTCAAGTTTTCCCAGGACAGGACCCCAAAGGCCCACAAAACAGACACTTTTGGTGCCCCATATCTCATGTCCACTTTCAGGTTCAGCCATAGTTGTGAAGGACAGTTCTATGGAAGCTCAGATTCACCTGGAAGCATCCTTCCTGAAGCACAAAGGTTAAGAGTTCCTTTTTACCCTTAGGCCTTATCTGGGATGCCAGAGTCTATGTGTCTCCTCTCCTGCAAAGGCTCTCTGGAAATATCAGGTTGTTGATGTGTCTGAGGTCAGTCTCAAACAACAGAGGGTGAAGGTCTGTGGACTAACACCACAGCCCCTCATCCTTCAAGTGGGCAGGAGGCACTCTACTCATCTCTGGAGCTCTGAGTCAAATAGAGCCCTTTTGGCCATTAGCTGGAGCCCCAGATATGTAACCTTATTTTATCCGTTCTTTCCTGTCTATCATACTTTTCCTGTTTCTTCACTTCCTCAATTACTTTGTCCCAAAACAAATACCTGTGCCCATCTTGTCTCAAGCTTTGTTTTCAAGGAAACTAAAACAGGGTTCACATGTCACAAACCCCTAAAAAGTAATCTTAATGACTTAGGTGACTATGAAGACCTGTCCATGAACTATTAGTGAAGAGGTGGGGGACTTCCCTCCTCTCTGCTAATGCATTCTCCAGATCTGTTAAATAATATGTAGGTTCCTTGTTGGAATGTGGCCAAAATCACCAACCTTCGGGTTGTTGGAACAAAAAAACAAAGAGAAATTTTGACAAAAACCTGTAATTCTCAGATGATCACTACCTTTTGGGTGATACTGTTGTTTCCCTATAGCTAAACTAGTATTCTTTCCACTTAGGTTTTGTTTAGCAAGAACCAGCCTGGGGCCATTTCCTCCTCAAAGGATTTCACATAAGCCATGGAGTCTGAACCAGGTTATGCTGTTCCTAATAATTCTTTGGGAACCCTAAGATCTCCTTGTTTATACTTGTGATTATTCTTAATTTAGGCTTTTACTATATTTCCCCAATTTTATCTTCAACAAGTCCAATTAAGGCTTAATCTAATAAAATTTTAAATTAAATATGTGTGATAAAATATATATTACTTAAAGTTTACCTTTTTAACCATTTTTAAGTGTACAAAGCTCTTTTCATCTTGTCCAACTGTATCTCTGTCCCCATTGAACAACAGCTCCTCATTTGTCCCTCCCACCAGTCCCCAACACCATTTTACTTTTTGTCTCTTTGAATTTGATTCCTCTATAAGTGGAATCAAACAGTATTTGTCTTTTTGTGATATTGCTGTCTTGACTTAGCCATGCGATGTGACTGGTTCCCTTAGAAGTAGATGCATTTTCAAGCTGAATTAATGGAAATTCAGTGTTTGGAGCAAGTGGGATAATAGTCCATTGAATTCTGGAATATTATATGCCATCATGGGCTCTCAGTTTTAAGAGGGATATTCATAACTTGAACTGTGAACAGAGAGCAATCAGAGGGTGGATGCCCTGAGTTCCTTGCCCCTTGAGGGCTAACGAAAGAAACCAGGGTTGCATTTAGCTCAAACAAGTAAGATGGAGGCAGCGACTTGCTAACATTTGAAAGGTTTTCACTGCTGCCCCACCAGGGCTGAACTCCGTTCAGTACTAATGTATCCCTAGTACTCAAAAGATACATCAACATCAGTACAAATTTGATGTTAAATAAATGAAGGGCTAGATCGTGTAAAGGTTGTTGTGGTTGATTCCTTGGATTGCAGGAACTTGAGGCTCTTACAATGCACTTACATTGTGCAAGGCAAGGGAGCTTGACTGTAAAGATGAGGGCAGTGATAGGAATAGTTTCCATCTGCATTGTCCAGTATGGAGGCCATTAGTCACATACACCTACTGAAAACTTGAAATGTGGCTAGCGCACCTCTAAATTTTTAATTCTAATTAATGTAAATTTACATTTAAATAGTTAATGGCTACCATATGAACAGTGCACATATAGATTTGAAGGACAAAACCTGAAGGTTTTTAGGTGTCTGGAATTTAGGTGTCACTAAGAGAAAGCTCCTCTCAGACTTACTTTCTTTGCCTTGCCTCTCTTCATCTGTTTCTCTCTGTGTCTGTGTGCCCTCCCTTCTCTCAGCTTCTCCATAACTTCAGCTTGTCCTTAGTCATCTTGAACACTCCAGTTCAGAGCACTTCTGTTCTGCTCACCCCAGAATTCTTCTTTACATAATATTCTTTGCACACTATCCACCATCAATTGCAGTTTTCTTCTGTATATCTTCTTTTTTTAAGATTTATTTATTTATACAAGAACTGGGGTACAGGTCAGAGGCGTGGGAGGGTGAGAGAATTCACCAGAGACAGAGTGGGGAGCAGAACAGTCAGATGGACCAAAGACGCTGCTCAAGGGAGCAGCAGGCGAGTTGGGGAGGTCTGCCGCACCATGTGGGTTTCTCCCTGGCTGGCTGGGAATTGAACCCACGCTGCTCTATATATATATATATATATATAGAGAGAGAGAGAGAGAGAGAGAGTATATGTATATATGTATATATGTGTGTATATATATATATATATATTCTCCAAAGGGAGACAATAGGAATTAACTAACATGGATATGGAGGTTGATAAAACTCATGATCTACAATCTGTAAACTGGAGAACTAGGAAACTGGTGGTATAATTAAGACCTAGTCTAAAGGTCTGAGAATCAGTAGACTCATTGTGAATCTGAAAGTAAGAAAACCAGGAGAACAGATGTTGGAGGGCAGGTGAAGATGGATGTCCCAGCTCCATCAAGAAAGAGATCAAATTCATCCCCCCCCCCCGTTCTCTCTCTCTCTCCCCATCTCTCGGTTCTATTGGGGTTGATACTCACCCACATGATGAGGGCCATTTGCTTTACTCAGTTGACCATTTCAAATGCTAATCTCTTCCGGAAATACCTTCATACACATACCCAGAAAAAGTATTTTAAGAGTGATCTGGGAATCCCTTAGCCCAGTCAAGTTTAGACATAAAATTAATCATCACAATTACCTAATTCATGAATTATCAAGAAAAGCAGAAGTAAAGTAGGTGACAAGAATAAAGAATGTCAGATGCCCTGGTAATGGCTTAGTGGATGTCTAGTGAAGATAGAGCCAGGGATCCTAAGGCAATTTGGAGAGTCTAGGAAAGACTTCAAGAAAACATGACATAAGAGTTTGACAGATAAAAGGAAGGAGGGGAAAGAATAGGCGGAGGCCTAGAAGGGAGAAAATACAGGTTTTATAAAAAAGAACTAAGTTCTGTGATGTCACATAACATGTTATGAGAGTATGTGGTTCCTGATTCTGGAATTAGTAAGCATTTCAACATATTGCATCCTCTTAAAGATTCTCAGTAGTAGAAGTTTTGAATAAACAAAGTTAAAAAACCTTACTGCTGTTTTATTAAGCATTTGCAAAACCCATTTACTCATGGAATTGACTCCTCTCTATCCAATCTTCTGTTAGCATCTGGCAGAGTCAGTGTTCCATGGAATACAAATGGAGAAATAATGATCTGGACATTTCAGTTGTGTCCAGTAGAAAGAAATAGTATTCAAGGTATATCTTGCAGTTCAATCAGATTGTTCTGCACCTAAGAACAATTGGGGATCTTTCTGTCTGCATGCTTCTTGGCACACCCAGAGCCAGATTCATTAGTCTGTGCAGCTGGCAAAGATGGTGATTTCCTTGCAAAGTGTTTCTCTGGTCTTCACACACATCCTGAATGGACTTCACTTTCTCTGCTGCTGTTTGTCCAGTGCCTAGAGATACAGGAACTCAGTTCCTCTTTCCAAGTGTCCAGTTGTCTGGAAATTCCCATCCCTTTCTAGTTTTTCATGGTCTTTTCTCAGGAAACTATGAGGACATCAAGTGTCCTGGCCACTGTCTTGGTCTTCAGATTATGCTCATCATTTCATTTGGGTGCATCTTGCCTTCCCACTGAGCACTGGACTTTGGGGTCAGGCTTGCCTTCTACCACTGACCAGCCGTGATAATGTGTTTTCATCTGTAAAACAAAAATTATATTACTTACTGCATAGGATCCTGGAGGGAAGCTTATGTGATATAAAATGATATTTTATCATTTTGCTAAATGCTTTTCTGCACATTTAGGGCAGTAGCACCACATAGTAAACACTTACCACCTTTATAGAAGATGGAAACTCTAGTGGATTTACAGTTTTCTCCTATAACTCTTGTGTATTGTTGACACATGGTTTTCATCTCTAACAGGAAAACATCTTTGTCTAGAGTATATAATAACCTGATTTTGAGTTTGTGATCCCTTCACCCATTGTTTCCTCCCTCTATCCTTTCTTCCTTTGTTATCCAAATTTAAAACATTTTTATCACCCCCAAAGAAGCTGTGTACCTATCAGCTGTGTACTGCTAATATTATGGACTGAATGTGACCCTGCCCTTCCCAAATTTACATACTGAAACATCAACATCAAAGTGTTGGTGTCTGGAATTGGGGCCTTTGAGAGGTTATTAGGTTTAGGGTTTAGATAAGGTCTTAAGGATAAAATCTCCAGGATGGGATAAATGTATTTATAGAAAGAGAGACTAAAACTTGCTCTCTCACTCTTCTTCCTTATATCCTGTCTCTGCCATCTCCATCTCTGTCATCCTTATCTCTGCCATCTCCTCTCTCCTTGCATGAACCAAGAAAGACCAAGTGAGTATATAATCAGGAAGAGATCCTCACTATGAAGCAGGCCATGCTACTAGCACTCTGATCTTGGACCTCCAGGCTCCAGACATATAATAAACAAACAAACAAACAAACAAACAAACAAACAAATAAATAAATAAATAAATAAATATGTGCTTCTTAACTCCCAGGTCTGTGATATCATTATTATAGCAGCCTGAACTGACATCCCACTTTACCCACCACTTATCCTGAATACATGCTATTCATTAATCCTCTTTCTGGCTCTATGGAGTTGCTCACTTTGAACCTTTAAACAGAATCACACATTGTGTGGATTCTGTGTGTGACTTTTTAGCATGATGTTTTCAAGTGTCATACATGTTGTAGCATGTATCAGTCTTTCATTCCTCTTTATTGTTAAGTATTCCATTTATGAATGTAACACATGTTATTTATCCACTCATCAGTTGAAGGACTTTGAGTTGTTTCCACCTTTTTGCTCTTGTGAGTAACGCAGCTGTGAATATTTGTGTGCGAGGATTTGTTTGAACATCTATTTCTAATTTCTCTGGGTCTTTGCCTAGAAGTGCTATTGCTGGGCCACATGGTAACTCTCTATGTTTAACATTTTGAGGAACAGTGAAGTTGTTTTCCACAGTGACAGCACATTTTACATTCCCACTGCAGTGACCCTGTTGTTTCTTTGATGTGTCATTATCTATACCTTCTGGCTCACTTAGGAATAGGGACCTAGTGGTCTAAAATTGATGCATATCTTAAAAAACAAAGTAAGAAAGACCTAGTTTCGTTTTAAGAGCTACTGGTTTATGTTGAGATAATTCTGCTTTACAAAAATCTAAAAACAAAACTTAAAAAGATTTGGTGGGGAGGCAGCAATTGTTATCAATTATTGTTAGTTCTAAACCCCTTGAAGTGAAGGACTTAATCTTATTTACTTATGTTTCCTCCAGGGGGTTTAAGAAGAGGTTGGGGCAAATATGCATTTATCATTCTTCCATTTGTTCATTTGACACTCCATCTAGAGTTATGGTATATGCCCCTATAATGGTATGCAATGAAAGAAAAAGAAAAATCATTTAAATGCCATTCCACTCCATGAAGGTGGCCCCACAGGCAGTAGATGCACTCAAGCCTGAAATAGTGAAAGTAGACTTGAAACCTGTGGAAATTATTTACAAATAATTTTAAGGGCTTGTTACTTTTTGACCAAGAAGGGAGACACATGATTCAGGTAGTCAGCTAAATGAGCAATGATGCTTCTTTTGACAAAGAAGTGGAGGTATTAATTGAGGACCAAGGGAAGCTTTGAGCAAGGGGACATGAGAGGAACTAGAGATTTCCCTTAAAAGATAATTTGTGGGATATTTAATGATTTTACACAGAGCAAGTTGGTTCTTTGTCATTTTGTCCTAACTTTGCTGACAGCCCTGTGTTCCTTTCAAGGAGTTGCCAGAATTTGGCTGATGGCAGAAGATGGAGTCCCCACTTTCCAGGGTCCCAGGGTCTAGCATGGAAGGTAGCACAGTCACATAGCAATTGCAAAATCACATGAAAAACATGAAAAATACAAAGATAGGTATGTGCACAGGATTGGAATGATGCAGAACAGGGGAGAACCTCGAATGGAGATCAGGGGGATTAGCTTCCAACAGCTTCTGTAACCACTACCAGAAACTGGGGGACTTAAAGCAACAGACATTTATTGTCTCTCAGCTCTGGAGGTCAGAAGTCTGAAATCAAGGTGCATGCAGAGTCACAATCCCTTTATAGGCTCTAGAGGAGGATTCTTGCTTTTCTCCTCCAGTTCTGGTGTCTCTAGGCTTCCTTAGCTTGTGCCTCTGCTGCTCAATCTCTGCCTCCCTCTTCACATGTTCCTATCTCCCTCCTCCCAGTTTTCTTCTCTGTATGTCCTTTACTAGGGCACTTATCCCTGGTTTTAGGTCCACCTAGACAAGGCAGGATGATGTCATCTTGACATCTTTCATTATGTTATGCATTTATACAAAGACCCTTTACCCAAATAAGGTCCCCTTAGCAGTTCTGGGGTTAGGAGGTGAACATACCACTTTGGGAGGCACCATTCTACCTGAATGCATTAAAGCCAGCTGAGCTAAATCTTGAAGAAATTAGGTAAGTGAAAGGACAGAGAAAGTGATCAGAAAGAGGAAATAGGGATCAGGGTGTGCAAAGTTCACACTGGAAGAGATTCTGTGTCATTTGTGTGCACTGTGGTATGATTGGAGTGCAGTGTGTGTGTGTGCATGCATGCGTGTGCTCATGTGCGTGTGTGTTGCAGTGTGGAGTAAGGAGAACAGAGCAGTTTGGATTAGAGAACTAGGCAAGGCCCAGATCCCAGAGGTTCTGGGAAGACATGACAAAGAGAGGGTTCTGAGACTATTAAGGAATTTTAAACAGGGAAGTGATGTGAGCTGATTGACATTTTGGAAAGACCACAAGGATGCTGTGTGGAGGATGGGATGCAACAAGGCTGGTGGTAGAGAAACTATTAGTTAGTGGTACTTCTGAGTAAATATGCAGACTTGGGTCTACCCTTTTCTTACTTGTATTTTCCTACACTAGCCTGATGATTTTTCTGGGCTCTTGGATACAATTTAACACTCTAAGCCAATCTATTTACTTGTAATGCTCATCACTAATAGGAAACAAGATGCTGGCCTCACAAGGGATGCTGGCCCTGCTCAGTGACAAAGTCCCTTGCGTTGATGATGAAAGATTGAAAACAGATCAAGCAGGTTCATGGTGTCAGTTCCAATTTGTTGAACCACTGAATCACATTGTCAGCAATTAGCATCTGCAAAATATGAACACACACATCACCCTTTCAGTAAAGACTGATGAATTCTGGCTAGCATTCTAGAGCTGACAAAAAGCTCTGTTTCATTGCTGCTTTGTAGGTGCTGCTGAAATTAAGGCTTAAATGATTAAAAAAAAGTATTGAGCCCTTCAAGGTAGCAAGCACTGTGTGAGAGGTCCAGGATTAAGCAGGGACTAGATAAACAGTTGTACCTACAAAGATTTCACAGTTTAGAGAAGAACAGAAAAGCTCACAATGGGGTTTCAGGAATTACCTTTCCTTACTGAGGAAAGTTAGGTGCTACAATCTCCTAAATATGTCAAAACAGGAACAAAAAAGGGGGGAAGGTTGTTGAGGCCCTCTTTGTTTCAGCCCATGCTATAGTCCTGACTTCAGTAGGGGGAGTTATACCAGTTTTTCAGTGACCTCCCTGGATACAGAGCGCCTTCCTTCTGAGTGGATGCTATACGTGTCACAGGTATTGTCACTGTGCTCTACCCCTTCATCTTTTCTTTATTATCTACTCCCTACAACAGCATTAGCTCCTTCCTCCAACCTCAGAGTCTCTTACAGAGAGAACATGTGTTCTTAAGGTCCATTTATTTATTCATGTGTTCATTCAGTAAAACTATGCTGGCCATTGATGCTTGCAAAGCCCTGTACCAACCAGCATGGTTACTACAGATACAAATTAGTTGTGAATCTTGCCTTAAGATGCTTATGCTCA